ACAAGGATACTTCCTTCCCTTCACCAGGTGTAGAGGTCACGCAGAGGTCACAAGGATACTTCCTTCCCTTAACCAGGTGTAGAGGTCACGCAGGGGTCACAAGGATACTTCCTTCCCTTCACCAGGTGTAGAGGTCACGCAGGGGTCACAAGGATACTTCCTTCCCTTCACCAGGTGTAGAGGTCACGCAGGGGTCACAGGGCGGACTCCCTTCCCTCCATCGATTTAATAATATGACCAGTTACTGGTCCGGCGAAGGTTATTTATGTCTCCAATGTTGCACGGGGTCTTGCGCGAGCTGCTGCTGCTGCTGCAAGTGTTGCAGGCGTTCCTGTTACTGCTGTATGTGCTGTAGAGGCTCCTGCTGTATGTGCTGTAGAGGCTCCTGCTGTATGTGCTGTAGAGGCTCCTGCTGTATGTGCTGTAGAGGCTCCTGCTATATGTGCTGTAGAGGCTCCTGCTGTATGTGCTGTAGAGGCTCCTGCTGTATGTGCTGTAGAGGCTCCTGCTGTATGTGCTGTAGAGGCTCCTGCTGTATGTGTTGTAGAGGCTCCTGCTGTATGTGCTGTAGAGGCTCCTGCTGTATGTGCTGTAGAGGCTCCTGCTGTATGTGCTGTAGAGGCTCCTGCTGTATGTGCTGTAGAGGCTCCTGCTGTATGTGCTGTAGAGGCTCCTGCTGTATGTGCTGTAGAGGCTCCTGCTGTATGTGTTGTAGAGGCTCCTGCTGTATGTGCTGTAGAGGCTCCTGCTGTATGTGCTGTAGAGGCTCCTGCTGTATGTGCTGTAGAGGCTCCTGCTGTATGTGCTGTAGAGGCTCCTGCTGTATGTGCTGTAGAGGCTCTTGCTGTATGTGCTGTAGAGGCTCCTGCTGTATGTGCTGTAGAGGCTCTTGCTGTATGTGCTGTAGAGGCTCCTGCTGTATGTGCTGTAGAGGCTCTTGCTGTATGTGCTGTAGAGGCTCCTGCTGTATGTGCTGTAGAGGCTCTTGCTGTATGTGCTGTAGAGGCTCCTGCTGTATGTGCTGTAGAGGCTCTTGCTGTATGTGCTGTAGAGGCTCCTGCTGTATGTGCTGTAGAGGCTCTTGCTGTATGTGCTGTAGAGGCTCCTGCTGTATGTGCTGTAGAGGCTCTTGCTGTATGTGCTGTAGAGGCTCCTGCTGTATGTGCTGTAGAGGCTCTTGCTGTATGTGCTGTAGAGGCTCTTGCTGTATGTGCTGTAGAGGCTCCTGCTATTTTAGTACTGTACGTGCTGTGGAGGTTCCTGGTGCTGCTGAAGGTGTTGTAGGAGCTCCTGGTGCTGCTGAAGGCGTTGTAGGAGCTCCTGGTGCTGCTGAAGGTGTTGAAGGAGCTCCTGGTGCTGCTGAAGGTGTTGAAGGAGCTCCTGGTGCTGCTGAAGGTGTTGTAGGAGCTCCTGGTGCTGTTGAAGGTGTTGAAGGAGCTCCTGGTGCTGCTGAAGGTGTTGTAGGAGCTCCTGGTGCTGCTTGTGCTGTAGCCGTTACTCCTGCAACACCTCTCGGTTACACGTACTAGAGCTGTTGATATTGCTCACGCTGCATGTCCTGCTGTTGCAAGTGTGGCTGTACTCGCTGTTCTTACACATGTTGAGAATAGTTTATGCAGCTGTATTATACATGTTGCAGGTTGTGATACAAGTCGAGCAGCACAAATACAGTCACGCAAACACCAAAACAATCACTCACACTCAAAAACAACCAAACACAATGCACCAATTATAATATGGCTTTTGCTTTGCTGAACTAATGCAAACAAACAAACCATTTTCATAATTGGGTCTATTTATTATTTTTATCGGGCAACGGAAAACTATTAATCATACCTCGGTTTAGAACTAATAATTCTTCCTTTGTTTACAGAGATTTATTCACAAATGTTTGCAAGTTAACTAATACATTTATGGGTTACTTTTGCATTGCGTTTTTGCATCGTACACGTTAACTGGCCGGGGTTTATCCTGAGGAAGAGAGTGGTGTGGATAAGGGAAGGGGGTGGGGGGAAAGGAGGGTAAGGGGGCAGGGGAGGAGATGGTTTAGGGAACATGGTGGTATGAGGGTGGAGGATTAGGGATCAGGGATTGAAATTGAGAGAGAGAAGAGAGGAGAGAGAGAGAGAGAGAGAGAGAGGAGAGAGAGAGAGAGAGAGGAGAGAGAGAGAGAGAGAGAGAGAGAGAGGGAGAGAGAGAGAGGAGAGAGGAGAGAGAGAGAGAGAGAGAGAGAGAGAGAGAGAGAGAGAGAGAGAGAGAGAGAGAGAGAGAGAGAGAGAGAGAGAGAGAGAGAGAGAGAGAGAGAGAGAGAGAGAGAGAGAGAGAGAGAGAGAGAGAGAGAGAGAGCTGATTGCCGCTGATTTATTTATAAATATAATATTTAGTCATACTAATATTAATAATCATGTAATAATAAATGTAATAATCATTTAATCATTAGAACAATTTTTTTCGACAATATCAAGAATGTAATCTCAATCTCAGAATATAATCTACGTGTTTTAAGATGATATGAAGGAAACCGTAGATCACAGTAATGAAACCCTTCTAACTCTCCTACCTTGAGAGCGATGCTGGAAGGTCTCTGTTGGTCCAGATAAAACTCAAATAATAATAATTCCCGTTCTCAGGGACAAGAATTATCCCGTGTAATTAGTCTTGTGCTGAGGTTGAACTATTGACCTTCTCCAAGATGCAACAGTTGCCTATCTCCAGGTTACCCATTTACTGTTAAAAGAATACAAGCATTGGGTGAAAGGAAACGTGCCCAACCATTTCTGTCCCGTCGGGGGATCGAACGAGGATCCTAGATTGTGAGGCTAGAACGTCGACCACAGGACCCATCTGACACTTTTCTAGTGATGGTATCAAAATTTTATTGATATAAATACCATTTTTATAAGATACCATTTTAAGTAACAAAGATACCATTTTCTAGTGATAGTATTTTCTAGTGAGGTGAACAAAAATCAGAGGCTAAATTTGGTAGGTGTATTGACTAATGAGAATCTTTCCCTTGTAATGGAAATGTGGATGTCTTCGGTGGGTCGCGCGTAGCCAAGTCGCCATGGTGTTAACTCTTGACAACTAGCACAATAGCTCTATAATGAAGTGATGTCTTAAAATTTGTGACTCTTTCCTTCGGTGTTATCTAAAGTAAGACAAAGTCCACGACAAGGAAGAGGGGCTCGTCTGTGTGTATTTTGCAAGCAGAACAAATGCTTGCTGGTCGGTCAGTGAGTTATTGTGGTGGCTTAATGGCTTTATAACCCTCCAAGGGTTTATAGGCCTCAAGCCCAACACCAAAGACAAAGCAATTGAAAAATATTTGATTAGTCGCCCCCATCTAAGTCTTTAGTGATATAATTTGATATATTCAGCAGCATACGCACGCACTTAGCGCTGATACAAACAATTAAATATTAAATTCAGTATATAATCACTTAATCTATTTTAGGTATTGGGAGTCATAAACAATTGTAATAATATTGTAATCAAAATAATAATAATAGTTACATTTTATGATGAGACGAGGCTGTTGAGCCCCACACCCTGCACCGAGCATGCATAAAAAACTGAATATATCAGACCAATTTCATTATGGAATTAAAGGAAATGGCTGATTTTTGTCTCAAATTATTGGAGTTTTTTCACTCTAACTTTTGATGTTTTTTTCCCAGTAATTATGGGAGCATACCCGGCACTGAGCGATGATATTGCCATGAAAAAATACAAATATATGTTCTTTTTAGAGATCCATTTATCCTTATAATTGGTCATATTTTAATCTACTTGTTGCCCTGTTGTTTGGCTTTTGTTCTGTTTATGTTAATGGGTGACGTCATTTGAGGTTGTTGTAATGTCCAGGAGTAACGAGCGAGAGCCAATGATCCAAGGCTGGAGCTCTCAGTAAATGTTAACATTCATTGTTCGATGAAAACTGATGGCTAATAATTGATTAAATTTTTTTTTTAATTTTGTAGGTAAAAGATCTCACAACTAATAGGTCATTCCCTATCGCCTTTCCCTAATAAGAGCTTTCTCTATCACCCTTTTATCCTCTCTCTTTGCCCAACCATTTAGGGTGGACGGTAGAGTGATGGTCTCGCTTCCTGCAGATTGGCGTTCAATCCCCGACCTTCCAAGTGGTTGAGCACTTTTCTTTCCTCCCCCCCCCCATCCCATCCCAAATCCTTATCCTGACCTCTTCCAAGTGCTATATAATTGTAGTGGCCTGGAACTTTCTCCTAATAGTTTCCTTTCTCTTTCCTAATCTTTCCTTCTTTGTTCCCTTCTATCCAGCTTTCTCCCCGCGTCTTCTTCTTTCTCTCCACCCTCCCTCTCTTTCTCGCAAGGACCTGTCCTTCACAATCTCCCAATCTCTTCTCCTCCTCTTTCTCTATAACCCTCTTTTCTCCTCTCTCTGTTGACCAGACCACACACTAGAAGGTGAAGGGACGACGACGTTTCGTCGACTTCAGAATGGTCCAGGACGGACCGAAACGTCGTCGTCCCTTCACCTTCTAGTGTGTGGTCTGGTCAACATAATTTAGCCACGTTATTGTAACTCATCGCCTGATATGAATTTTTAGGTATATTCTCTAACCTTGTTCCTGACTCATTACATGATTCTGAAATCTACCGTTAACTTGGAAAGTGTTTAAATGTCTAAAGGTTGTGAATCTCTTGAAGTTCTTCCTCTTTATAATAGGAACAGAGGACACAGCTGGCGTTTCCTCTCTGGATCCCAACATTTAATCGCTAAAAACAGGAAACTGACGGTCTTTGTGCCTTTGGTAGTGTCGTTGATCCTAGAACCCAACTCTTTTAAGAAAAATCAAGACACACACTTATGCCATGAGACCCTTGAAGCCAAGGGTATCAGATGATACGGAAACAAGTGGTAACTGATGTCTCAGTTGTTTGTACTGGTTAGATTTGATTGATTATCTGTGATTAGCTGCACCACAAGCCTCACCAACACTGAACGGGAGATAGGGTCACTTGCACATAAGAAGGATTCCTAACATTTCAGTGGGCTTACTGGCCTTCCTGTGAGATTCCAGGCCTTCCTGTGGGATTCCAGGCTTTTCTGTAGGATTCCTGACCTTTCTGTGGGATTCCTGACCTTTCTGTGGGATTCCTGACCTTCCTGTGGGCTTCCTGGGCTTCCTGTGGGCTTCCTGACCTTCCTGTGGGCTTCCTGGCCTTCCTGTGGGCTTCCTGACCTTCCTGTGGGCTTCCTGACCTTCCTGTGGGCTTCCTGACCTTTCTGTGGGCTTCCTGACCTTCCTGACCTTCCTGTGGGCTTCCTGACCTTCCAGTGGGCTTCCTGACCTTCCTGTGGGCTTGCTGACCTTCCTGTGGGCTTCCTGACCTTCCTGTGGGCTTCCTGACCTTCCTGTGGGCTTCCTGGCCTTCCTGTGGGCTTCCTGACCTTCCTGTGGGCTTCCTGACCTTTCTGTGGGCTTCCTGACCTTCCTGTGGGCTTCCTGACCTTCCTGTGGGCTTCCTGACCTTCCTGTGGGCTTCCTGACCTTCCTGTGGGCTTCCTGACCTTCCTGTGGGCTTCCTGACCTTCCTGTGGGCTTCCTGACCTTCTTGTGGGCTTCCTGGCCTTCCTGTGGGCTTCCTGGCCTTTCTGTGGGCTTCCTGGCCTTTCTGTGGACTTCCTTACCTTCCTGTGGACTTCCTGACCTTCCTGTGGGCTTCCTGGCCTTCCTGTGGGCTTCCTGACCTTCCTGTGGGCTTCCTGGCCTTTCTGTGGGCTTCCTGACCTTCCTGTGGGCTTCCTGGCCTTTCTGTGGGCTTCCTGGCCTTACTGTGGGATGGCCTTATGGTGGATACATATATACAGTGTTCTGGTAAATTTGCACTTTGTGAGCATTACTGGCAGGTAAGCTAAAAAAGATTGACTGCCCAATTACTATCATTTCTCTCTAAATTGTTTCTTTCTCCCTTCGCAAATGTCCTCAATTACTTGGGGATCCGGTTCCCTGCTGGGCGATCAAGGGATTCCTGCCTTTCTGCAGGACTCCTTCCCTCCCTGTGGGATTCCTGGCTTATTTGCGGAGTTCTAGGTCTTTGTGGGATTCCTAGCTTACCTGTTAGATTTCAGGACTATGCAGAATTCAGGCCTCGATGTGGGATTCCTGGCCTTTCTGAGGGATTCCCGGCCTTCCTGTGGGATTCTTGGCCTTCCTGTGGGATTCTTGGCCTTCCTGTGGGATTCCTGGCCTTCCTGTGGGATTCCTGGCCTTCCTGTGGGATTCTTGGCCTTCCTGTGGGACTCCTAGCCTTCCTGTGGGACTCCTAGCCTTCCTGTGGGATTCCTGGCCTCCCTAAGGGATTCACTGCTTCACTTTGGGATTCCTGTTCTTGCAGTGGAATTCCTTCAAAGCAAACTTTAAAAAAAACTCGTGGTGACACAAACACAAGATACAGTGAAATAGAAGGAAAATAAATTAACGTTTTAGAAGCAGTGAAACAAAACGAGCAGAAATGAGATGCATAGTGTCCTTAGGGAGGAACAGCCACACACAACTGTCGCTTTATACACTAGACTTTAAGACTACATACGCTGGTCTATTCATTTATGCATAAAGCCTTGGGGGAATGCATGCAGAGGGATGGCATGTGTGTGCATTCATTTTGTGATATATGCAGCGCTGGCTTCATAGGCATTTAGTCAGTGGCCACACACAGGTGGAAACTTTATCACAACTGTGCATCTGTTCACACCTGTGGCAGTGGTGTCCAGGTTTACGTAAATGTCACTCACCGCAGAGGACACTCACCAGAGAAGACACTCACCACAGAAGACACTCACCAGAGAAGACACTCACCACAGAAGACACTCACCAGAGAAGACACTCACCACAGAAGACACTCACCAAAGAAGACACTCACCAGAGAAGACACTCACCAGAGAGGATACTCACCACAGAAGACACTCACCAGAGGGGAGACTCACCAGATAGAATGCTTCAAGACGAACACTTAAAACCGACAATATTAAGAAACAGTTTAGGAAGTCATTCATCATTATTCAGAGACTGGGCGAGCTAGCAAGGACCATTAAGACTTTGCATATTATTAAGCGCTACAAAACTTTCCTCATTTGCATGTTAAAGTAAAGAAGCTTGTGTGGTCATCGACCCGAAGCTGTTGACCAAAATATAAGTTGTAGTGCGACTTTGTGAAAACGTTTGAGTTATAACCTTTTGTTTTAGCCTTTTCGTTTGCGACCACAATTAATAATAATTAAATAATCTGTACAAGAGAGAGGCAATTTAATTTGTTGAAATTATAATTATTTTTTGGATATTTTTTCCGGCTGCTATCGTAAGTGAAGCTGAACTTATCTCACATTCTCTATTCCAGTATATTTCACTCCCTCTCCCACCATATTCACCCCCTCCCTCTCACATAGTTCACTCCCCTCACCCCCCATAACTCACCCCCCTCACCCCCATAACTCACCCCCCATGTCTCCCCATAATTTACTCCTCCCTGTTCGGTGAACTGCATCCTCCAATCCCCCGAGCCTTAATTACACCCCAAAGAATAATGATCTTTTTCCTTCACATGATAAACTGAACTTGCCTGTAATGCCTTCATGCATATAATAGCCGACATCATCATCATATTGACCCCTGAGATCGATGGCATGCAGCATATCCTATATCCACTCATAGCCTTTAATTATGTTGTGTCAGCTCCTTACATATGTTGTGTCAGCTCCTTACATATGTTGTGACAGCTCCTTACATATGTTGTGTCAGCTCCTTACATATGTTGTAGCAGCTCCTTACATATGTTGTGTCAGCTCCTTACATATGTCGTAACAGCTCCTTACATATGTTGTGTTAGCCCTCTGTATGACACACACAGAGATCACACTAATGTGATGCATCAAATGAACAAATCCTCGTCACGGCCCTTGTGGATTTGTTCCCTCTGTATGTGTTGTGTTAGATCTTCAAAAGTGTTTTAGTAATCTCTAACATATGTGTCAGCTCCTTACATATAATGTCAGTTTCCTTATCACCTGACGTGTTACTTATGTAGAAGTGTTTTCATGGAGAAGTAGAATGATCGCAGGTAAACATCCAAGAGTTATACCTGTCAAAGACTACGGGAATAACTTAGCCAATAAGCTGTGAATTTAACTTTGTGAGTAGCCCGTCCTCATAAATGTTGACCAAATGTTACTTATACTTAATCCAGCTGTCAGATACCCTGTTTATGAATGGCAAACACTACACTTTACTCAGAACAGAAGACGTTCGAAATTTTGTCGAAATTTGTCGAATTCGTTCGCTTTCTACGTTGGAATTGCATCTTCATTTAATCTTTGAAATCACCTAACCTATCTTAGGCCTAACTATATAGAGAAAATTATATTATATGTAAATAATAATAATTTATATTTGATGAGAAAATATATATTTTGGTTACATAATACACGACAACTGACGATTGCGTCTTTGGTGTCGTTCACAGCTTGGACGAGCATAGTCAGACGACCGGTCGTGTTGCAAGGTTGATCACTCTACCGTACGACTGCGTGATGAGTCGTCTTCCATGTCGTCTCTTCCTCAAGGTAAGCTCCCCCGACCGTCCAAGTGGTTGGGCACCATTCCTTCCCCCCGTCCTATCCCAAATCCTTATCCTGTCCCCCCTTCCTAGTGCTATATAGTCGTAATGACTTGGCGCTTTCCCCTGAAAATTACCTTTACCTCAAGGTAAGCTGTTCCAGTCTTTATTTAAGACGCAGATAAATAAATTATCTCTGAAACCAGTATAATAAATTTGTGTGTTAAATATAGGTCACATTGCAACGATGTAAGTTATTATTAAACATGCGCGGGGCACACATGCGCGTGCTATGCTTGGCCCGAGACAGCTTCACACGTGTTAAGGTCCTAAGCACAAGTTAGAACTTGTATGAGACCATGTTAAAGATGTTAAAGTTATTTTATAATAAATTTGATAGTTCATAGCCAGATTGGCCATGATAGTTTAATTACCATTCTATTTTGTAGTTTTATGTTAATATAAATATAGTTTTATGAATGCCCTTCTCCCCCCCCCCCACCCACACTCCATGCAATAGATGAAAAGCGACTGACTCAGTCTCAAGATTTCTTGAGTCAAAAACGCAAGACGTGAATTAATTTTTAAAGTGAGAGAGAGAGAGAGAGTGTGAAGGGGGGGGGGGGAGGAAGAGTAGGAAGATGAAGGAGAGTTAAAAAAATTCAAGTATGTTTATTGAGACAAGAAAAAATACATCTCAGAGGGATAGAGTAGCTTAAGCTATTTCTACAGTGGGATGTTTCAAGAGAAGGAAGAAGAGAGGGTTGTGAATAAAGGAGAGAGATAGAGGAGAGGTTGGGGATCTAGATGGAGAAAGCTGGAAAGGTGGGAGATGAAAAGAGAGAGGAAGAGATACATAAAGAGAGATGAGAGATAGGGAAGAGACCCGAGCACAGCCGGGTAACCCCCTAGAATATATAAATAGAAATGTCTCTGAAGTAGGAGACCAGCCACTGGGGCTAGCTTTACCCAGTTTTTCCTAGTAACAATTCCTGCCGGGTACGAGCCAAACATGGGCGGGGTTGGGATAGGCTTCAAAGAATAGGATATCACGTGACACTGTGCCAAACCTGAAATTTCAGAATATCGTTGACTACTGTGAATTATTACTATTTTGCAATATCGTGAAATGTTGTGTGCTCATGATGCCAGCATTTTACAAATTTCTACTTCTCATACTCTGGGCATAAGAGGCAAATTATAATAGGAATAACTTTTTCTGAGTCGCCACACAGCCGTAAGTATAGCACCAACTTTGGCTCCGTCGTCTTTCCTCATCTCCCGTGCATTCCTGATATCCTACTGCTATTCCTGATATTCCACACTATTCCTGATATCTCACTTCGATTCCTGAAATTTCTTCCTTCAATGCCTGATATCATTCAGTCTTTCTTTCTCCTCCATTCGCTCTCCCCCCCCCCCTCACAAAGCATTACTCTCCACAAATGCAGATGTACCTAAATGTGTTAATAAAAAAAATATATAGATTCTTGTAGCATATCCGGCAACTCTTGTACCGTACTCACCGATCCACTTCAGTACCACACCTTACCACCTGTCGTGTACCTCACCCCACTACCACCTACTCCAGAACCCCCACCCTAGCTACCACCTGCCAGGCGCCACACCCCCTCCCCACCCACACATGAACCACACTCTACCACTAGCTATGTACCTCACCCTCCCTCCCCACCTTTGCAACACAATCCTTTACACTTCGGCTCTATACCCATCAATCAATTCCCAATATTGACCTGGGTTCAAGCCCCCCACACAGGGCGCGACGACTGGACACCTATCCTTCAGTATTCACCCCTACTAAACCCATCAGTTACTATGGACCTGGATGTAAAACGGTCACCAGGTTGTGTTCTAGAGAAAATGGCGCCCCAGGTTGAACAGTTATATCCTCACAGGGGCGGGTAAGCCACGGGCTAAAGGCCTGCGCAGATTGGAATCCTGCAAATATTAAGAGGAAAAGTCTTTAAAATGCCGTACCCTTATACCATATACTGTCTGATATACCACACCCTGGCTCATATACCACACCCTGGCTCATATACCACACAGTGTTAAGACTCTTAACACCCTCCCATCTACTTAACTACACGCTCTCACAAGACCTTGTGTTTACAACAGAACTTTGTGTTTACAACGGCACCTTGTGTCTGCACAACAGGACACAGGACCTTGTGTGCACCTTGTTACAACGGACCTAGTGTCCACAACAGCACCTTGTGTTCACAACAGGACCTAGTGTCCACAACAGCACCTTGTGTCCACAACAGGACCTAGTGTCCACAACAGCACCTTGTGTCCACAACAGGACCTAGTGTCCACAACAGCACCTTGTGTTCACAACAGGACCTTGTGTTTTCAAGAACAACTAGTGACTATGGTTTGCAATTCAATTACCGAGAGCGGAGTTAGACGGCAACTAGCCGTTGAGTGACGTCAGTGTTGCGTCATGGTCGATGGCTGAGGAACAGTTAGCGGAGGAAATTGATTGACAAGCCATTCTTCTTCCTCGTTACCAAGTTGGATATTCAGAGTTTAAGAAAAGCGTTCAATGAAAAAGAATGTTATTTCATAATATATGTGTGTGGGTGTGGATATATAGATGTTGATATGGGAATGGATATGTATACTCACCTAGTTATGCTTGCGGGGGTGGTGCTTCGGCTCTTTGGTCCCGCCTCGTAATGTATGTATCAGTGTAAGTGTGCATTTGCATGTGAGAGTGTTGTATGCACGTGGTATGTGTATATATGAGTGTACATATGTGGGTGTGTACAACCCATCCTCCTCTTTAGATAGTAGGTATTGTGTCGATCGTCAATAGTCACGAATTCGTACTTACTTAGTTAGCTTTTAGATAGTATACTGACTAGTAAGGAATTCTTTTAAAATAAAGCTAATAAACAAACTTAAATATTCCTAGGCCTTGTATAGCACACATATGTACTATATTAGGCCTCAGATATTGTGTATTAAACCTAGGAAGGTTACATTATTTTAGTTTAGTTTGTCGAAGCAACATAAGTAAAAAATTGTTTTCCGGTTTGTTCAACTCAGTAGTTCAGATTTCTTTCTAATTGCGTTGTACGTCGGTATATATACTATGGTCCTCATCGTTACAATAAGTACTGCCAAAACAGACGGATGGGCTATTGTGTATGTCCTTACGCTTCTTTTTTTTCTTTGTACCGTTTTCTTTAATACCTTAAACTAAGATTGCTTATTTTATCCTGTTTGCAAGCCAGTTGGAGCGGCAAGATTACAGAAAAATTGCCCTGTGCTGATACTACTTTCAGCTCTCTTCCCCTCATCTCTATTTTTTCCCCTTACCACTTTTCCTCACCCCTATTCCATCCCCCCAGCCCCACCCCCTCAGCGCTCTGCATCCCGACGCTTACAGTTTCCATGGCCTCCCTCTTTTAACCCTTATAGGCACTACCCTCTTTTGCATGCTAAATTAATTTACTCCTTCACTTTACTCACCCTAGCAACCCCTACCCCAACGATCCTGACGCTTCTCCCTAACACACACACACACACACACACACACACACACACACACACACACACACACACACACACACACACACACACACACACACACACACACACACACACTGCCTCACCATCCACCCTTCACTCTGACCAATTACAGAGCCTCTTGTGTGTACTACCATTCACCTGAGTCGCACAGACAGCTCCTGATACAGTCTAGTTCATAATAGGCATGACGTGTATTAGGTTAGTAGTGGGATGTTTCAGGGCATTCTGTGTTTCATTTGAGCATTTCTGTTAAGAAATTGGTGGATCCGCAGACCTTCTTGAAGGTTTGACGCTGGCGCTACTAGACAAGTTTAGCCAATCACTTGCCAATAGTCACGTGACCGGATTTTATTGTATGTGATATCTGAGGAACCAACCGGAAGCTCCTCTCCGGTTTGTTCCCTTGAAGAACAGACTCTATTGTCTGTTCTTCAAGGAACTAAATGCAGTGAGTATCCGTGTGCTGCAGTGACTGTATTCTGGTATTGTAATGGAAGCGGGTGCTGTGTTCTCATATAA